ATCGCACTCTAGCTGAATTCCTTGTTATGCTTGACGATTATGAACCCTTGGTACGCGTGTAACTTTCGTAATCCAAGTGGAGCTGAAAGTGCTGTCCAGATTCCCAATGAAGTAACAGACTATTATCTCCAGAGGGTAGGGTTTGAATGCGAAGACGTGCGGCTGTGAGCATCCAAAGACGTTTTCTGGTATAGACTCATTACGTTCATTCTATGCAGAAAACGCCTGCTTTCCTTGGCTGCACAGAAGTTCGTATCAGATATTGCTGCCGATGCCTACCAGCATGCCCGTATACGTACGAACGCCGTTGGTGGTCGTGCCCGAGGCCCCCTCACTGGGCCAGGGTCAAAGGTACGTCATTGTTTTTCACCGCCTTGCCTTGCGTAAAATGGCTTGCTCCTAGGATAAGACAAGGACCGCGCTGACCATGGATGACTTGAGTGCCGCGTTGGCCGAGTACGGCATTAATGCTAAAAAACCAGAATTTTATCTGTGAGCACGCAGAGGAGTTGCTTAGATTTATCGTTTTCACTATCACTTGTTCCAATGTATTCTAGATAGTAGCAAGCATAGTAAACCAAGAGCAAGTGAAAGGGGGAACACTATGAACTCGCATGGACTGTCTTCCCTTTGTAATCCGCGGATGTCGGGTTGAAAATGACACCTCGCTTGTGAATGACTTCGTTTCTGTTCTCACTCTTTAGTGGCGACACCGTTGAACCTGCAATAGGAAACGAGCTGCCTACAGTGCCTTATGGCCGCACTATATTTTCGGAGAGGCGTATGCGGAATGAGTGCGATGCCAATGTAGGTGTGACTGTAATGTCAACTTGACAGCTTCAGGAATTTAGTCAAGATTCTGCATGCGCTTCACAGGTAAGAACCGCATCTACAAATTTAGTCGCTCATTGACCAGTTCTCCCAACCGGAGAAAAATGCACCGGGTGGAATTTCCACCCGCTGTGCAAGTTCATCGAAAGATTGAGGCATGATATATAAAGTCTTAGCAAGTACGCCTCAACCTTTAGCGATCACTACGACTAACCCCGACCCCTAGCCCAGCATCGAATCCAGCTGAGCCCCCCTTGTGCCCTAATTGGACACGATCGCCCTTCACCCAACCGTATTCCTTCCACTCTTTTGGGCTTACCCGTGTTTAACGGGACTGTCGGCCTTTGGCTTGCCCTTTGATCAGAGCTCCTTTTGCATCGGCGATATATTTCTTCACAGACGACGGAGCTTACAGCCTTACAGCAGACCTGCTGGATCCCGCACGGCCACAGTACGTATCGCTAAAAAATATAAATGAACATGGCATGAATTAGCTGCTCATTCTTAGCGGAAATTCCTACACGATACAGCGATTCCACGAATTAGGAGATGACTTAAACTTCGACTACTGTAGGGATGTGTTACTCAAACATCCGAGACTAGCGAAGGACGTGGTCAACCAGCACCGTCCGTGCGCAGCGTGAGGCCGTTCCAATTCGAATGCTTGGGTTTTGTGCTAGGAATGTCTCGGTGACCTAAATGGAAAGAACGATCGGGAGACCCCCTGTACAGTCACTGGCTACACACACATGTATGAATCCGACTCCCACTAATATGGGATAGTTCCGAGACTGTGCTGATGTCATTTCTGCTTGACCGATGACCATAAGTCTCTGGAACTGCGGAAATGACATTGGCGCATTGGTAGATTCTAGTTACTTGTTTTGCCTGGGTCTTATGTATCTGAGTGTTGCTCGCCTGAGCTTGGGTCACAACAACGAGAGGCACATGCAACACTCGCGGTCGCATCTGCAATGCTTTGAAACAAGCGCCGAACGAAGGTCAGTCAGCTGCATCGTATATCGACGGGATGTCGGAAATCTCCCTCGGTTCAGCAACCAAGTGACGGAATTTCCGACAAACGACACATTGTTGACTAACACTCAGCACAATAGCACCAGCTGTGTATTCTTCACTTTCAAATTGTACTTCGAAGCAAGAGGCTGATCACGTTTCACTTGCGCACACACACAAGAGTATAAACTGGATTTGGAATTACAGGCGGTCGATATGTAACTGATCATCGTGCACACAAATGTGGAACATTGTCAATAATAAATCAAACCGTAATGCAAATGGAAGAGACGAGTACATGAGTACCAAAAGAAATGCACAGTCCATCGTCTGTCACATACCGACAAAAAGGAAAAAATAAGGAGTCCACGAGTAAAAAAGAATGAAGCAGTCCATTGTCTGTCAAGTACATGCCGATAAAGGGAAAAAGAAATCAAGAGACCTTTGAATAGTGAGGGAAACAGAAGACTCAGACTAGAGGTACGTGCGGGACTGCGAATGGTGGGTTCCAATAGTGATCTTCAACTTTTTGGGCGGTGGAACTTCAGGTCTTGCGGACAGAGGCCAATAGGTTGTTGCAGGATTCGGTCGTAGGGGACCCCTGACATCGAATCTTGCGGAAATGATAGCCGGCGCGTGGAGACAGTGTGGGGGGCAGGCGGTAGCCTTCAACCTTGTGGAAGGCTCCAGGTCATAGAGGACAGCGAGAGGCCGGTGCGTGTCTTTCGGGATGCGAGTAGCGTTATGGATTAGCTTGTACCGCTCTAGTTGGGGAGTGCCAACGTGGATATGAGGCCGAACTTGGCCATGGCATTGGCCTCGTCATGGAGTTGCTCAAGATGGCATATTTGAAATCAGTAAGCGATGTGCATGTCATGAGAAATTGCACACCAGTGTAAGTCCATGCGCGTCCGGCACGCAAACGAGCACAATGCTAACAAATTAAGATGAGCGTCGTACTTAATTTGGTGATCATGTCACGCCGGTTGGCGATGCGCGCTGTATCTAGAGGCTTGGGCGGTAGGGCGATAGAATGAGGGTGGATTGATGCTGAAGAAAAAAGGCACTGTTGGTATTGTGGTGGATGAGTCGGGGGTTCCGGAGACATCGAAGTCCTTGATGTAGTCGTCATCGGCCACAAGGGTCACGCCCGAGTCTATGGAGAAGCGCTTGTACCTGGAAGACTGCCACGTCGACGGCAATACTACCAGACGGAACGATAACATGGAAGAGCGTATGATTGACAAGGCGGTGAGAAGATAAGATGTAGATACCGACGATGCTGTATGTATATAGGGATGAGCATCAAATGGCCAAACACTAAGTAAATGAGGCGCGGTGTCTAACTTGATCAGGAGCGAGTACGCCGAGCGCGTCCGTCACGTGGTAAGCCCGCCAGGCTTACAGTACCTCTGGAATCGTGATGAAGCGGGCGTGTAGATATCAATCATGTTGTCACCAGCGGGAGGGAGTTGGTTGTCCTTGGGGGTGAAATCGTCTCTGAGTAGTTTCTTCGCGGTTCTGTGAGGCAAGAACCAGGAAGACCGTCAAGGAAGAACTTTGAAACTGCGGCGCCAACAGAAAGGCGGTCGTCCGCGTCGTAAAGTGTCTGACGAGTAGTGTCGAAGATGGCCCGCTTGAAGAACGTGGCGGCGAGGCAGGGGAGGGAGAATTTTGGGGTTGTAGGGAGGGGAAGGTTGGGGGTTGGCCGCCTATCATAAGGAAGGTGTTTCCATTGCGGCGAGGTATCCAGTGATGGTGACGAGGGCGGTACCGCTCAAGACAGTAGGGGTACTAAATATCATCTTGGCAAGTGCTAAATGCTGATACACGTAAATTGGACACTTAATAAGAGATGAAGTTCTGTGACGAGCTCGTATATAGATTGGTTGATTTACATAAGTCAGCGCTCCGCATGAACGCGTCAGTCACATGTTTGGAAAACCAATAACCAAGGGCACGCATCGATTTGCGTTCTGAAATATGATTCGGATCAAGCTTGGTTGCGAGGAAGTTGACAGAGAATGGGTGCGATTAATGGGTTTTATACAATAACTATCGCTAGGCTATAGGTATTCGTAACTTGATCACGAATCGTCGACCAGGTCAAAACAATGTCTGTTAGCCTGAGGGAGGGTCTAAGAGTATCCTTAATGCAAGCTAAAATGAGTGTAACTGAAGCCTTTGAAGGATATTATCAACGTCAGATAAGTTCGTCTCCTTCCGAGCAACCTCGAGGAAAACCTCCCTTTCTTCCCCGCAGGTGTTATCTCTTTTCGAAACATGCCAGTGCTGTGGCTGTTGACCTCGAGAAAACACTTCGGTGATGTGCAATTCCCTATTGCAAGGCCGTCAAAATTATACTGGAATAGAAAAGGCGCAATACGCACTGTTCCAATAGCTGCTTTCCGTTGTATAGGTGATCTGACTTCGCAATGAAGTCAGGACTGGCTGTTGTAAAGTGGTCAAAACCAACTAGATAGTTATCTTTGGGCTGCAAAATCTTCGTCGCCGAAGGCAAGATCTCAGAAACCCTGTGCATACCCATGTGAGTTTTGCTCTTCTCCTCTAAGTACTTATACGTACCGCGTCGCTTCTGCAAGAATCAGGTTCTCAACGTCATGTAGCATTTGAGATGCAGCTTCAGATATAACATGCGTGTCGTAGTCTTCTACATTATCAGCATCCGCTATGATAGCCACGGCCAAGCTTTGACACTAGCAAGGTAATGTGAACGCAAGGGAGAATGAGTACGAGACCGTGCTTACTCTTAGATGTATTACTTGCCTTCGGCGAGTTTCCAACGGGTCACCGCTTTCAGGTAGAAACACGAAAGTACAAGCGAAGTCCAATTGACGATAACGACCAGGTTTCTCAGACTCAAGAGGAGATGTAGATGAGCCATCTACGGGAAGCGGTAATGGGACTCGGGAAGGTCGTGGAGTGTCGCCGCTGTGGTCCACCTCCGGACGCCCTTCATGCGCAGCATCAAGTTCTGTGACAGATAATCCATCATTTGCCTTCCCCAGCAGGCCATGTATATCGGCGGAGGACATCGCATCCTCCAAAGCGCCCCTGTCAACTTCCGTCACAGTGCTTGTACTTTCGGCCACAGAGGGATTAGGTTTAATTTCTTCTTGTTCTGTCACCGGCGATTTTCGTTCAGCGCCCTTCCCAAACGTCAACGCCCCGGGCCAATTCCAGTTCCGAACACCCATACTCATGGCGAGACTAGAAGGCATGCCCAAGAACCCACCGGAAGAGTTACTGCTAGAACTGACTTCTTTAGCTGCCGTGTTTGCAATCGCTCCGTTTTCAGTGGGTGAAGAGGCTTCTGGGCGATCATCTGCTTCATGGCATGGTAGATGGCGTGGAATTAGAGATAGAAGGTGTCGCGAGAGTGCGGGTGGATGATTAGATTGTCTGTATCTTGTAGACGGGACTACGTGAGGAGGAGAAAGAAACAATGCATCCAGTCCAGCTGGTAACTGCGATGAAAAGGCATCCAGTAGAGGTAGAATAGAGGGGTATAACGGATGAAGCGACAAGCCTAAGTCCAATCAGCAAGTCGGCGGTAGATACGGGATGCCCAGATACAACGCACCAAGGTCGTCGTTCAACTCAAAACTCTTGCTCAAATCCCATGACCAT